TAGGTTGTGTCCGGTCGGTACTGTTTTTAGCTCTACTGGTCAGAGACCAGAAGAGCTTATGCGATAGTAATGCGTCCGGTGTCCGTCCGTCTGTCTGTCTGTAAACAATTTTTCAAAATGCTACTCCTCCTACAGTTTTGATATGATTTCAATATAACTTGGCATATAAGTAGACTACACTAAGATACATAATTCTGTTTATTATATGATTGAATAATTTCCATCTCTCTGATTGGCTGAGATCCAACTATGTTAGAAAAATACTACGTTGTCTTGACCTGCACGTGACGTTCCAGGTCAATACAAGGATTTATTTCCTCTACATTGATCTAAAAATAGATTGGGAAATTCCAAATTGATACAAATTGTTTTGGAAAGCTATTTAAATGACTAAGATTTTTTTTGTGAACAAAACATATAAAGAGAATATATATTTTAGGGTGAGGGTGGTAAGAGGGGATGCAGGGACCCCCCTCCAATACTTTTACTGAACAGCAATTTTTTTTTTTACTTTTTTGTAGTCAGTTTTCCATGATAATACTCCTTCCTTTCAAAATATATCCTTTAAAAAAGACTGACATTATATAATTATTTCTTTCATGGCAACTAAAATTGATTTTAAAAAAGCATTTCAAATTGATATGACTGGTAAGGTTTTCTAACATTTTAATTCTGCTTCTCTCTTGAATTTGGGTAGGACTTAATGAAATGCAAACAAGTAATGAGCTCTATCATTTTATCAGTAAATCATATAATAAAACAGTTATTGCTGTTTTTTTCGGTCAATACAATGATTTAGCCATCTTCGAAGTACAATATTCACCTCGCCCTTCGGGCTCAGTGAATATTGTACTCCTCAGATGGCTAAATCATTGTATTGACCTCAAAACACAGCAATAATTGTATAGTATCGGTTTTTGATTTCGACAAGCTGTGTTGGCGTTCTTACTAAAAATAGAAATTTCTGTGAAATTCTTTCAAAATGCTATTCCTCCTATAGATTTGGTCTGATTTTAATATAACTTGGCACACAAGTAGAATACACTAAGATACATAATTCTATATATCGGTCTTTGATTTCGATGAACGGTGTTGGCGTTGTTACTAAAAATAGAAATTTCTGTAAAATTCTTTCAAAATGCTACTCCTCCTATAGTTTTGGTCTGATTTCAATATAACTTGGCACACAAGTAGACTACACTAAGATACATAATTCTGTGTATCGGTTTTTGATTTCGACGAACGGTGTTGGCGTTGTTACTAAAAATAGAAATTTCTGTAAAATTCTTTCAAAATGCTACTCCTCCTACAGATTTAGTCTGATTTCAATATAACTTGGCATATAAGTAGACTACTCTAAGATACATAATTCTGTGTATCGGTTTTTGATTTCGACGAACGGTGTTGGCGTTGTTACTAAAAATAGAAATTTCTGTAAAATTCTTTCAAAATGCTACTCCTCCTACAGTTTTGGTCTGATTTCAATATAACTTGGCATATAAGTAGACTACACTAAGATACATAATTCTGTTTATCGGTTTTTGATTTCGACGAACGGTGTTGGCGTTGTTACTAAAAATAGAAATTTCTGTGAAATTCTTTCAAAATGCTACTCCTCCTACAGTTTTAGTCTGATTTCAATATAACTTGGCACACAAGTAGACTACACTAAGGTACATGGTTCTTTATATCCGTTTTTGACTTCAATGAACATTATTACCTTGGTTAATAAAAATAGCAATTTCTGTTACTCTCGAAATGCTACTTCAAATACAGTTTTCGTCTGATTATAATATAATGTGGCATGCATGTAGATTACACTAAGAACATAAAGAGACTTAACCAAGGATATTATTCTCTTTTTTGCCAGTGTAAAGTTTCAATTCCCAACTGCTTAAGTACTTTCCTCTTCCTTTGCTATAAGTACAAACCAGTAGAGCTTCAGTCTCGACAGAGACTTCTGGTTTGGAATCTCTTTTATTATCCCCTCGCGCAACTAGGGAAACTGCACAATTACGTATGCACATTATGCCCCCCCTTCCCACTAAAATGCTATGCAATTTGATTTTTGTTAAATAGACATCCTCCACCTCCGACAATTATGTTTAAAAATAAATATTGCTGAAAAACAATTAAATATATAAACTTTACTACCTCAAATTAGGTATCCATGTATCCAATACTCTTTGCTCTCTGCGTTTTTAAAAAAAAAAAAATAAATCATCAACAACATCTCGCTAATAATTTTGTCAAAAGTGAGGGAGTTGATCCTAATGTTGCTGGTCTGAATCCCTTTGTGGGACGTGGAGACCGTGTAAACCAAGGGCCCATGTCCCAATACATGCTAGCACAAAAAGATCCCTCACTGCTCAATGGTCGTCAGTTCCTATTATAGGAAAGAATGTGCAGCCTTCCGCCGGCAAGCCTTCATATGAGCAACAAATTCCTGAGAAGGACTTTAAACAAAATACATTGTACTATCAATACTTAACATGTTTAAAGTCCCTCGAGAGAATTTATCTCATATGAGGTACTGCCATTACCACTGAAGTTCCTGTCGCGAGGGGATGCTCCGCTTGGCGGTGCCCTTGTTATTTTTAGCCCATGGTGAAGTGAAGTTTAAGTATACGTAATTCATTTAAATTGCTTTCTTTAGTTAACAAACATTTATTTAAAAAATAAGGTATCATTTTTAAACATCTATCGGGATATAAATACAGATTGGTCACGAGATTAAATTCCATGAAGCCTAAAGGGCTTTAAGATGAATTTAATCTCGTAGCATAGCTAACATATGCTTGTGCCCCATCAATAAAAAACTGATGACTTCTTTTTAATGGGAGGGTGCGTAGTTGATATATAGTGGCCCAAACTGAAAATCTATGGCTTTGCCCCCCCCCCCCCCCCCAACTGAAGTTGCTTCCTACGGAACTAACTCTTTATTTATTTATTTTTTTGCTTCATTTCATATTCTCATTTTATCTGTTATTTTAAATTATGTTTCACTATTCCTAACTTATTACTTTTTGGGGAAAAACTATAAGAAGAATCGAAAGATTTAATAGGAGTGTAGAACTACAGTGCGCATGGGGGTTGGGCACAAAGCAAAACTTTCTTGACCCCCAAAGGCATTACTGTTAGGGGATATAAGAATGAATTAGCCTTGATTTCTTTTGTTATGAATATACATACAATTGGGCAAAATACGAAATTACTTTCATTTACATGTAATTGGAATAGAATACACTGGCTCCCCACCCCCTGTCCGGCCCGGGACCATGAAACTTAGATAAGCTCACTTTTGATTTCAGTCTCTCTATTACTAATTCCTGTAGTAAACCAAGTTTGGGACGTGACACGAAAAAGATCCCTCGCTGCTGTATGGCCTTAAGTGCCGAGAATAGGACAAAATTTACAGCTCTCCACCGGCAAATGGTGGCGTCTCCATATGAGTAAAAATTCTCGTGAGGGACGTTAAACAACAATCAATCCTTTGGTGAAAGTGAGACTGTGATCAACAGTGAGCTCGTCTAAGTTTATTGGCCCTTGTGCATGATGTTTCAAATATGATAAATATGGCCCCATTCCTGATTGCATGCTTATATTGTATATAAATATCAAGTATATTTCAGTTGATATTGATATAACATGATTTTAATTTAGGACTGAGAATTTGTTTTTCCACTTCAACAAGTCTAAGGACCGAAGTAGAAAAGGGGGCAAAATGTTGGGTTCTCCATTTTTGTGTGGAAAATAATCATAAGCAGATGTTTTCATATGAAAATGCATCTATTGGCTGCATTCCCCCTCATTCACGACACTTTGGCTAATTCTTGCGTTGAAAAAAAAGTTTATGAAAAGTGATAATGAAAGATCCCAAACATTGCTTTTACAGAGGTTCCAAGTTTTACATGTACCAGGTTATTTAATTAATATTTGTTTGTCATTTCTTTTTGGGGGACACCCCCATTTCCCCGAGGAATATTGATACGTAACTGCAGCTACTGAATGTTTTTTTTTTAATATGATATTATTGCAATTATAATTAAGATCTAAAATGGGGCACTAATGGTTTGGCGTTAGCCTCGTAAGCCATGGCCGAGAAGTTCAGAGTTGAATTGTTTTAAGTATCAACTAAACCTTCTCCCTCACACCTCCCCACAAAAAAAAGTCATCAGACTTTTCAAATTGAGGGGCACAAGCATATAATAGCTATATTTTCTATAGTATTCTTTACATATACCGGTATGTATATCAGCAAAATCGCCCCTCTGCCCCTACAGCTATGAAGGAAATAAAATAAATCTGCAAAAAATAAGCAAGAAGTTAGAACTAAAATAAGAAATGAAAAATGAAGTCGTTAGAATTTACATGTATTTAATTTGGAAAACAATAAGTTATAATAAAATTTTAAAGAATATCTAAAAAGGAATTGTGGCACTGATGGCCTTCCATAGTTTTTCGTAATCAAAATTCGACAAACATGTAGACTTTACATTTGTAGAGTTGTTAATTGTCTTTGTGTTTTATTCAGAGCGAGTTTACAACATCAAACATATACACACATTCATAATTTGAACTTAAATTCAACACATTTGTAATTGTTTTGTGCAAATCGCAAGTCCGGCACAGGCAGTCTTTTATAACTCTAGGTCAGTGTTGCAACATTTATTTAGTTTCAACCTATAAACAAATTATGAGAAAAAAAATTACACAGTGAAATAAATTCCCAGAAAATGAAATAGAACAGTTTGATAATTGATGCAGTACAAATAAACTTACACGCTGACAGGTTATAATCGATCAAATATACAAAAATCAGTCACACATGTTGACAATCTCTTAAATCCGCTAAATCCGTATCATGACCGGATATCATGTACGCAAACTAAAAACAAAACCAATCCGAACACAAACAGAATATTGATCCCGATAACCCCCCCCCCCCCCAATTGTTAAACCTGTTCTTCAACTGGCAATATTACCAAAATACGATGTACTTACCGACGAACCTTTGTAACTATCAGTCCCTGATAACTTGTTCCTGCATCCTGGACTTTGTAACGAAGTTCAACGTCTCTTACTCTGTCATCACTGCCAGGTTTGGCACAGGATACTTGAGCCATTCTCCATTGTCCTCTCACTGCGTTGCTATCATATACTAGAACATTATCCTCTTCTTGGACATTTTTGGTCTTTGTGTGCCACTTTTGACGAATTATGAGAGTTGGAAAGAAGTTGCGTATCCACCTTCTCCAAAAGGAATCGGTTACCTGTTGAAGAAATTTCCATCGGTATTTAAAACACTCTTTTTGTGTCCATGACCCGGGTGGAACTCTTGAAGATGCTCTTCCCAGAAGTAGGTCATTGGGACATAAGTAAGTTCCTTCATTTGGATCGTTGCTCTTCATTCCTATGGGCCGCTCATTCATACAGTTAGCAACCTCAAACAGAACAGTCTGTAACTTTGAAAAGGACATCACAGCATTCCCTACAGCACTGGAAAGACAGGATTTGACTGTTTTGATAAGAGGCTCGCAACATCCGTTTTCCCATGGTGCATCAGCTGATTTACAAAATTCCCATTCCATGCCAGAGTGAACTCCAAAAGATTTTATTCTCTGCCAATCCCAATTTTCATTCATCTCACTGATTTCCTTTGAGGCAGTAGTAAGCTGGGAACCCACATCGGACCACATCTTACGTGGATATCCATGGATAGATACAAATCTACGAAGGACTATCAGAAAGCTGTCCATATTATAACTATCTGCCAAGTCCATATAAACACCTCTTGATGTCTGACAAGTAATTATGACCCCATAAGCTTTTCCATGTGTTCTCTTTTTGACTGAGTCCCAAATAGTGAGTGGTCCAAACAGATCCACTGCAGTATAAAAGAATGCAGGAGATGGTTTCAATATATCCAAAGACAATGTTCCCATAATCTGTTCATTTGTCTTTTTCTCTTTCAGGCGACATAATACGCATCCCTTTTTTTTATCGTCTTCAGGATTCTTCGAGCACCAGGTATCCAATATATACTCCTGGTCTTTGCAAGAATTGCCTCTATCCCACAATGGTCTTTGTTGTGAACTGACTGTAAGTAAAGTCTAGTAAACTCCGATTTTGGAGTTATAGTACAAAGGTATTGACATTCCATGTTGATTTCAACCATTTTGCCATCCTGTTTCCAACCATCTTGATGCCATCATCATTCATCTCCACTCCAAGGCGTTTAAAGGAAGTTTTCCATTGAGATCCAAAATCCCTTTGGACATAACGAATCCATTCCTTTTCTGCCTGTTCATTAGCAGAAATGTCAGCACTATTTTGTCTTAAAGGTTTCTTTTAGCTACACGCATAAGAATAACAGTGACGCACAAAAGTTTTGTCAAATCCTTGTAGTTCTTAAGGTTAACATCATCAAAGTTGGGATGTTCCTTTAACTCATTCTGTACAGTGTGTTGCATACTTCTTATGACATCTGGCAGATCGGTGCTTTCCAAATTGCACTCCTGGCTTCTTGGCCATTCCTCAACTGGCTTCTCCAAGAATTCAGGTCCTTCCTGCCATACTGATTATGGTCCCAACGACTGTGCATCCTTTGTCCGAGTTGTCATATCAGCTGGATTTATATCTCCTGGTATCTACCACCAGTCTTCTTTCTTGGTTCTATCTTGTATTTCGGCAACTCTTGTCGCACTAAATGTGCCGAAGACATAACTTTCTTTCTGTATCTTAGCCCTGACTATCATTAAATTAACAACGTGAAAAACTTCATCAAATTCATACTGTAAGTCACTGGTTATCTTTTTCACGTAGTCTAGCTCCAAGTAGTGCTCCACAAAGTTCCAATCTAGGGATTGAGAGCTGGCGAGTAGGAGCTATGCTGTTCTTAGCTGCAATAAGACGTGATTGATAGATCCCTTCATCAACCTTCCACCTCACATATGCACACGTCCCAAAAGCATATTTGCTTCCATCAGAAAATACCACTAGAATGTGGTTTACTACTGCCTCTTGGGTTTTATACACCTCGGAAATTCCAGATTTTCTGAAATGAACAGTTCCCTGAAGAAGTGAATCCATTCTCCTCTTCCCTTTTCATCTATTGGTGCATCCCAACTGCTCTACCTTCCACCTCCATATGAATCATCCTTGCAACCACGTCTATCTCATAAGGACCTTAACAATAATTTGGATTTCAAAACAAAGGGTGAAATAAGTCCTAATGGATCAAATATGATGGAAACTTGACTCAATACCATTCTGTGGGTAAGCGTCTTTTGGTATTTTGGAAGGTACTAGTATTTCATTTTCGCTTAAGTCATTCTCAATGCGTATTCCTTCTGTTCGGGGAGAAAAATTCAGTTTTGCTTTGAATTTGAAAACATCTGCTTCCGGTTCCCAAATCATTCCAAGTACCTTCTCTTCATGTATTCTATTTCCCTGACCGGTGGATTTGTAGGCTTTGACCCAGATATACTCCACTGTTTGACACGAAATCCCCCCTTTTCAAGTATCGAGTAAATTTCCTCTGTAATCTGTTCCGCATGAGATCTACTATCAACGGCAAACAAGATATCATCAACATAACTGCTGTCCATAAGTAGCTTCTTCATTGCCGCCATAAAACATCTGAGCTGTCTTCCTTAGGGCAAAAGTTGCAATACAACCACTTGGTCTATCCCCAAATGTCACAGTTTGAAGTACATAATGGCCAGGTTTTAGGGAAGTGTTCATATTTCTCCAAAGAAATCTGTGGGTATGTTGATCCAACTCACTGATCCTGGCAGCATTGTACATCTTTGAAATATCTCCTGCTACTGCTAAATGATCTTCTCAAATTCGAAGTAATACTGACAGTAGATCATTCAGAACATTTGGTCCTTTTGCCCAATAGTCATTGAGAACATTCACCATGAAGCTTCATGTTCTTCAAGAGTGTCTTGATCTAGCTTTTTCGCCAATTACGTGTGACCATGTCATGGATTTGTTGGTCATATAGTTTTGCATATTCACTGCCATTCCGCATTAATCTTCTTTCTGTTGATTCGAGTCTTGCTTTTGCAGAGTGAAAATTGTTTGGTAACTCATGAGGATTTCTTATCCAAGGGTACGATGCAGTCCAACACTTCTAATTGTGATCATAATCTAGTCCATCCTGTATGAGGGCCATCTCTCTTTGTTCCTGAATAGTGAATTCCTTTCCTCCAACCGGACATTTGCCACACTTACAACCGCCACATTTAAGTTCATTCGGTTCCAAGATTTTCAATGCTAAAAAAATCTGTCCAATTCCATTTTAACAGAGGTACAGTTTATAACAGAAATATCATTTCCTTTTACGTCAGCTGTAATACCAGATGTAAAGAGAATCTGAATTGAATCATATGCTTGAGACGTTGATCCCTTTAAGAGTTCATGTTTGCCCCGCAGACAAAATCCAAATTGATTCTTCATAAGTAAGGAGCAAAATACAGCAGTCTGTTCCTATTAGTAATCCACTCTACCTGTTGATCTTCGGATATCTTTTCCTGTTATTCCAGAAAATAAGTGTGCAACTTGTTAAACCTCAACATAATCTACGCATGCGGTCACTTCCTCAAAACATATGCTCTGACATTCCATTCTCGTTCTGTATTGTCGTATAAAGGTACAATGTACTTCTTGCTCTGTATAGTTTTACAGCAATTTTCTACTGTTGTCAGTGATAGGGTAATATCCCTTCCCACTTGTCCAAGTCGCTTTGCTGCACTATGTGTTATAAGGGACATGTTTGCTCTAGGGTCCCAAAGTGTTGTAATTTCATCTGATTTGGCTCTGACTCTGCTGACCATCAATAATGTTCTATCATTTCCATGAACTTGGTCCCCATTCACAATCCATGAATTCGTATGCAGTGAATGATCATTTCTGTTTTCATTGTGTAGAGTTGGATGATGCGTCCACATCCATGTGTGCTGCATAGCTTTCTGTCAGCACATCTACTTGACACATGACTAGTGTTACAGAATCGGAGGAAAAATACAATCGATTATCGAATCGAATCGGAGACACCGTTTCGATTCATAATCGAAAATAATCGGACATTTCTCATGTTTCTGTTTTTACATTATGAAAGGCCTGAATTTTGTATAAGAACACGTACGTTGACCAATATTTCAGTTTTAATTAATCTGGTGATTTTCTGCTATTATTAAAGGAAAGGATTACACCTGTTTAAATATCAAAGAAAAATAATTTTAATAGTATAAAATTATTAATCTGATAATGTGTCTTTATACCCCCCCGCAAACGAAGTTTGGGGGGGTATATAGGAATCACCTTGTCCGTCTGTCTGTCTGTCCGTCTGTCCGTCTGTCTGTGCAATCGTGTCCGGTCCATATCATTCCTACAGAGGGACATTAGAATCTACTACTCCACATTAAAATTGCCCATGACCTAAGGGTGTGTCATGACCTTGACCCAAGGTCATTTGGGGAAGTTCAAGGTCACTGGAAGAAAAATTTCATAATTCGTGTCCGGTCCATATCTTTCTTATGGATAAACTTGGTAGGTTCTCATTTCACACAAAGATTGCCCACGACCCAAGGGTGTGTCATGACCTTGACCCAAGGTCATTTGGGGAAGTTCAAGGTCACTGGAAGAAAAATTTCAAAATTCATGTTTGGGACATATCTTTTATGGATAAACTTGGTAGGTTCTCATTTCACACAAAGATTGCCCATGACCCAAGAGTGTGTCATGCCCTTGACCCAAGGTCATTTGGGGAAGTTCAAGGTCACTGGAAGAAAAAATTTCATAATTCGTGTCCGGTCCATATCTTTCTTATGGATAAACTTGGTATGTTCATATTTCACACAAAGGTTGCCCATGATGCGTAAATATGTCATGACCTTGACCCAAGGTCATTTGGGGAAGTCCAAGGTCACTGGAAGAAAAATTTCATAATTCGTGTCCGGTCCATATCTTTCTTATGAATAAACTTGGTAGGTTCTCATTTCACACAAAGATTGCCCATGACCGAATGGTGTGTCATGACCTTGACCCAAGGTCATTTTTGGGAAGTTCAAGGTCACTGGAAAAAAAAATTTCATAATTTGTGTCCGGTTCATATCTTTCTTATGGATAAACTTGGTAGGTTCTCATTTCACTCAAAGATTGCCCATGACCCAAGGGTGTGTCATGACCTTGACCCAAGGTCATTTTGGGAAGCTCAAGGTCACTGGAAGAAAAAATTTCATAATTTGTGTCTGATACATATCTTTATTATGGAAAAACTTACTTCTGAAAAACCCAGCGGGGGTATTTTGTCCCGTTTGGACAGTTCTAGTTTTTTTTTATAACATCTAACATGTTTATGATTAAACTTATAATATTGATCAGTTTAACATGTTGAAAATTTTGATTTAAGGTTCTGATTTTTAAAAGATGATAATTTTCATTAACATTTTATTCTTATCTATTGAGAAAAAAATAAAGTAAAAGTTCAACAAGTTGTCTACCTTCATAAATGTTCACATTTGAATGGGTATGCACAATAAAAATAACATTACTTCTTTTGAATTCCTTATATATAATTATAATAAAAAAAAATAGTAGCATAGTATTTAATTTCTGACCGGCCACTTAATATTTAAACTATAAAAATAATACATAAAATGTGAGTGGAAAGTAGAAAATATCGTTTCATGTGAGAGCAGAGGAAATTCAGGTTAAAAGACGATTTTTTTAAGTGTTGCTCTTAATAGCTATATTTCGTCATCTTCTGCTGCCTATATGAATTATGTCTAGAATGGAAGGGAATATTAATTAGATTTAGCCATAATTATTATTTTCTAAGCATGTTATTATTCGCTGATTCAGTAACGGTGGTTACAAGCACCGTACAGTACAGGCGACGGTCAGGAACTTGTGTGCACATGGACGATGCATAAAAACAATCAAAGTACCATCTTTGACTTGTACAAGAGAAAAAAGGTCCACAACACGAAAAAAATACAATATATATAAAGATTAAGCATTATGTTTAAAGTATTTATAAATATAGCGACAATCGATTTTGCTGTTAAGCTATCGATTGTCGGCATCGCCAAGCTTCCAACGACGATTTTTCGATCGTCGGCGACTATCGCTGAATCACTACACATGACCCAACTTCAGACAACTGAAGCATCCACCATTTTTTCGTAGGAGTTCAATCTTCTCCTTTAACTCAAGCTGTGTGAATCCAGAACATTTTCCTATTTCATGGGTGTCAACGCCATGATACCAACACTTCCATTTGCGATTGTTGCCCCTCTGTTGTATATCTTCAATGCTTCTACCACCTATGGCTGCCGCAACTTGTGTTAGTCCTTGGACAACCTGCTGTTGATCAAGTTTCTCCTTAAGTTCATCTTTGTATGGTGCATTAGAATTGGTCGAATGGGCTTTTACTTGATGGTGTTTATCTTTGGTATCCTCATTTCGAAGTTCATTTTCCATGTATTCAAGAGTGTATTTTTCTCTCAGTAGGAATTCGAGGAATTTTCCAAATATATTTTTATAATCTGATATAATCTAATGTTTTGATTGCTTGTCTGAAGATGACCCATTTTCTCTTCTGAACCCCAGGCAACAGTTTCTCTACTTCACTGACCATTGTTGATGTGTCCATCTCGGACTCCAACTCAACCTTCTTTAAATCCAACCAACAGTTTTCTACAGTGTCTACCATACAAATAAATCCACGAAGGTCTCCATCCTTTATGACGCCCAGACCTCTTAACTCACACAAAACTGCATCAGATAGCTTTTCAGGCCTTCCATATTTCAAATCCAACCTATGAAACATTTCATTAAAGTCATCATCAACTCCCTTAACAACTGCTAACGCTTCTCCTTTTAGGCATTTCTTACCAAAGGTGGGCTTCATGTGGTTTTCATAGTCACGCTAAAAGCTCGGATAGTCTCTGATATTTCCTGAGAATTCTGGAACATCAAGTTTTTTTTTTAACTTTTTAGTTCACCTGAGCCGATGGCTCAAGTGAGCTTTTCTGATCAAAATTTGTCCGTTGTCCGTCGTCGTTGTTGTTGTCGTTGTTGTCATCGTAAACTTTTCATATTTTCATCGACTGGGCCAATTTCAACCAAACTTGGTACAAAGTATCCTTGGGTGAAGGGGATTCAAGTTTGTTCAAATGAAGGGTCAGGCCCTTTTCCAAGGGGAGATAATTATGAATTAAAGAAAAATTAATGGCATTTTTTAAAAATCTTCTCAAGAACCACTGGGCCAGGAAAGATGAAACTCATGTGGAATCATCCTCAGGTAGTGTAGATTCATATTTGTTCAAATCATGACCCCCTGGGGGAAGGGTGGGGCCAAAATGGCCGATCAAAGTTTTACATAGGAATATATAGGAAAAATCTTTAAAAATCTTCTCTAGTACCACTGGGCCAGGAAAGATGAAACTCATGTGGGATCATCCTCAGGTAGTGTAGATTCAAGTTTGTTCAAATCATGACCCCCGGGGAAGGGTTGGGCCAAAATGGCCGATCAAAGTTTTACAAAGGAATATATAGGAAAAATCTTTGAAAATCTTCTTCTCAAGAACCACTGGGCCAGGAAAGATGAAACGCATGTGGAATCATCCCCAGGTAGTGCAGATTCAAGTTTGTTCAAATCATGACCCCCGGGGGTAGGGTTGGGCCAAAATGGCCGATCAAAGTTTTACATAGGAATATATAGGAAAAATCTTTAAAAATCTTCTTCTCAATAACCACTGGGCCAGGAAAGATTAAACTCATGTAGAATCATCCTCAGGTAGTGTAGATTCAAGTTTGTTCAAATCATGTCCCCGGGGGTAGGGTGGGGACAAAATGGCGGATCAAAGTTTTACATAGGAACATATAGGGAAACCTTTTAAAATCTTCTTTTCAAGTACTTCAAAGCCAGGCTTCGTTATATTTATAGGGAATCATCCTCAGGTAGTGTAGATTCAAGTTTGTTCAAATCATGACCCTCCGGGGGGGGGGGGTGTAAAATTCAAGCCTCCCCCTCCCCAGTTTACTTTCAGTTCTGATCTGATCTGTGTTTTTTTTCTAGCCAAATGCTCAGGTGAGCGATGTGGCCCCTGGGCCTCTTGTTTAACTTGTTATACCCCCTGCTTGAAGAGTGGGAGGGTATATAGTTATCGGGATTTCCGTCCGTCCGTCCGTCTGTTACGCTTTATCTCTTATCCGCAACTCCTTTTATACTACTGAGTGAAATTCAATGAAACTTTCACATAATCTTAATTACAAATTGTCATTGTGCACCTCCTATTTTACCTTTTTATTCGACACGCATTTTAGGTTTCCCATAGGCAAACATGAACATTGCCATAATATGTTTACCTATGACGTCACATATAGAAGCTTCTGGATAACATTTGAAGGATGAGTTATTCCCTTTTACACATTACTGTTAAACAATATATATCAACACATAGACATTATGGGAGGCGGGGGTATCATTTAGTGAGCTCATTGCTCACAGTACCTCTAGTTTTATAAGTGAGCGCGTTGAAACGTATATCAGGTATAATATCGCAGAAATAATCAGGAACTAAATCATTGTGAATCTTATACATAATATTTAATCAATATGTATAGCTTGTGTCTATCCCTTATCGGCTCCCAGCCAGTTTCAAAATATAAAGACTCTCTAGAAGCTAACAGAGTCAGACCAGTAACAAAACGGGCTGCTTGTAATTTTTCAGAATTTGTCGTTGAACAACCTCCCTATCAACTGAAGCATTTTCAAGCTGAGGCGTATAAATGACGTATACATAAGTGAAATAGTTTTTCTATTTAGTTTGAGTTTTTTTAAAGACCTATTTTTTATGCACTTGATTGTGAGGTTTCAATATTGGACGACCAGTTTAAGTTTATAAAATTTTTGTGGGTTTGAGCGTATTTTAAATGGTTACCTTGGAAAAAGAATCGTAGGGGTTCTAAATTTCTTTGGTCTTAAAAACAATGCTTTACTTACTGGCATTAAGGACATACGCAACGTACCTTACCTACTGACAGATTTCAAAGATATTCCAAATTTAAACTTATAATATAATTACATGTTCATAGACAAAAAATCAGCATGCCTTACCAGAGGTTTTTAAAAGATATTGAATTTTGAAAATTTTTGCATAATTCAAATAAAAATAAATAAAAATAATAAAACACAAATTCTAGAATTTAATTCATCAAAAATTATTTTAAAAGAGGTGTACAAATCCATATATAGACAATAAACTATTGCACACAGGTCCTTCATTTAGTGGAACTCTTCATCTCCAGGGAAGAACCCCAAAAAGTTCAATCTACGTTGCGTATGACCTTAAATTTAATTAACCACTTTCTTTTTACCACTCTTCTTGAAAGTTAAGATCATTGTACAAATTACATTCTTTTAGAAGCATACTGTAAGCTATTGTCTTGGCTCATGATGATTGGGCAGGGGCGTAGTATCCGGGGGGGGGGGGGGAGGGGGGCAGGGGGGCCTGCCCCCCCCCCCCCCACTTTTTTTCCCAACCTTACTTACACTATAGGAAATGTTAATTGAAAGCCTGGTTGGCCCCTCCACTTTTAGAAATGTACCGAAAATGTAGTATAAGAATTGGTACTAAAAGTAGTTGACACTGAGAAAAAAGTTTACCTTAACACCCAACCCCCCCCCCCCCCCCCCCTCCCCTACGAAATAGGATTTTCGACTTTGGCAACTTTTACCTTTTTTTTTTTTTTTTTTTTTGCTTGTCAACTTTTTTCAGGTAAGTAAAAAAAATTTTTCTCTGCCTGGCCCCCCACTTTCAAAAACGATGCTACGCCACTGTTGGGGACCTTTAAATCATGTCTGTGTTAAGACCCTTGACTTAATTGACTTCTCGGAAAGATGCAAATGTTTTGTCATAAAAATGTACTTTTAAGGTCTAGTGGGTATTGAAAAAAAATTGTTGAGGTATGAAAAATGTCGTTCATGTTCCTTAAAATCTGTGTATACTTTTTCATAGGTAAATATTTTCAGTCTGAGTCTTTTTAAATCATAGATATTTTTCATAAGTCTACTTTAATATTAGATGAAATATGACAGAAAATTTGGATATAATTTAGATTAAATTTTACACTTAATGTGCCGGAACTCAATCCGGAATTTTATTTGTTACTGTTCTAATTTTACGCTCGCTTTCATATTTCCCGCGTGAGATCA